TATATATATATAAATTCTTTTATCTTTGTACGCGCGCGCGTACGAAGTATATTATTTTTAATAAATTGTATTTCGAAAACATAAATTTTACAAAAAAATTGTTCAAATTAAAGTTTCGCAGTTCGAGAAAAAAAATATGATGTATACAATGTTTTTTGTCGCATGGTATTAAAAATGTGTCGCATGCATTATATTTTTTTCTAAGATTGTGAAATATTTTTGAAATATTTTTAACAGGCAATCTTTTTCCTTTTTATTTTTCGGAGATTTTTTTAAAAATATTTATTATCGTTTAATCTATTCTACATTTTGTATTAATTTATAATTAATCTCTTTAGACGATATTGTTATAAGCATATCTAAAATTGTATTCAAAATATCTGTATCCATACTTACCAGTAATGTAATCAAAACACATTTCTTTAATAATAATTTGAGTATTTTTCTTTGGTTTTTATTTTTTAATCTTGTTGGCATTGCATTTTTATTTTTATTTTTGCATTGCTTTTTTATAGGTAATAACTCCGGACGATCTGTTAAACAATGTCTACATTCCTTGCCTGATCAATAAAATTTTCAATTGTTCAAATCTGCTCTCTATATTGATACATATGTACTCTATTCTAAAGAAAAAAATCTGCACGCACAGAACAAATTACGTATTGCTAATCACAGAATTAATCAAGAAAATGTCGATGTTAAGAAAATCCAATCCAGTGTATTTGAGAAGCATCGTAAACAATTTATTGGATCGAGGAACAATGATATTAAATCTTATATTCGCTCGACCGAATCTATTAACGTTGAAAAATCAGAGCGAAATTATGATAAAAGTTAATAACTTTGTGGAACCTATCGATCAAATATTATTGGCTCCTTTGTTACAAAAAATCCTACGCGGCACTGTGCAGGACGTAATCCAGAACTATGAAAGACGTTGCTCCATCATATATCAACTAATATACACGAATTCGCAAGGTAAATCCGATTTTTTCAAATTCAATCAGAAAGCCTTATTACATCACATGATGCTGCATGCCACCGAGGAAGAGTACAAGAATTTTGCTATCGAGATGACGATAGTATCCTGGTCTTACTTTGGCTGGGCCAACGAACTAGAGGCGTATGAGAATGTATTGCACATTACTGCCGAGGCGATGCAGCTCGCCTTAATCTTTACAGATACTTTTCCCAAAGATTCATTTGTTTCGCTTCTGCGTGCCCTCATGCACTATTGTAACACACTCTTACTTCTCAAGCACCAGATGTACAACCAGGAAATATTTTTCAATATCCTATCAAAGACTCTATTCTCCTTGAAGAGTGCAATCAACGAGACACAATATGGCAAGATATATGACAATTTGCTGGAGCATATCAACAATATGTCCGTCAATGCAAATTCTAGGATTAAAGATTATTTTCGCAAGATCAGCGAGTTAATTGAAATACACTTTGTACGATCTGAAAAAATCGAGAAGTAAGTGAATAATAGTGTTTTTTTTCTTTTGGATTTAATTTTTTTTAGAATAAGTATTTTCTCTTTTTTTTTCGATTTTTTATTTCATGAAGTTTTATTTTCTGTTAGGTAATTCCCTAGTGTAGAAGACAATAAAAATAAATTTTTAAAGCTTTTGTATTATATTTTAGAATGTATATGTGATGTTTTAAAATAATACTTTCCTAAAAGTAATTTTCTGAAGGACATTTGGTCAGCTTTGTGAATATCTGTAGTTATTTAAACTCCACCTGCATTTCTATAGGTTTTCTATAGGTTTTCATTTTTTATTACAATTTTAATATTTTAATAATTGTAACAAAATTTTGTTGATGAAAATTATGTAAAGTGACAGAATGACTAAATTTTATTAAATTGTAAAATGTAACAGATTATTGTGTTTAATTATTTTATAAATTAATTTTGTTTATTTATTTTATATTTTTTATATTGTTTCTATTAAATCTTATGAATTTTATAAATTAAAATAATTTTGTTTTATACAATAAAATTTATAAGTAATGAAATATTAAAATATTGTTTTTAAATATTTGTTATATAAATGTAGAAAAGAAAGAATAAAAATACATAGTATATTATAATAATAATTTTATAAATAGAGTATCAGATGAATGTTTTACAAAATATAGGAACATGTGTATCAAAAAAAAAGAATTTATATATTTTAGATTAGATAAAATGTATTGTGTAGAAAATAAAACGTGATAATTTTTATGTATGTTTCAGTGAGAATTCAGACAATTTAGTATATACGAGTTTGTCGCATCTCATTTCTACTACAAATGAAATAAGTGACATGTTCAAGGCGTACCAATTCATATGTGATTGTGTTGATAATATAATTCATCTGAAAAATAAATATTTCGTAACTGATTACCGAACAAAGTGAGATTTCATACACCTGAAAGGATAAATTAGCTTTGATAATGCATGAAGAAAATATTTGCATTGTTTCTGTTAGGACAATTTTATATATAAAAGAATATTTTTTTCAATGTTACAATCAAAGTACATCTCTTTGTGAAACTTCAATTTCGATATATTGAATCAATCACTGTATAATATCATTAATAGTCGTTTTTTATAGATTATTTTTTTATACTACATATTCGCTGTGTAACTGTTAATTATTCATAAAATTATGTATTGTTGATGAAACGTTTTAAAAATTCTATACAATTTTTCTGAAATATAGAAATTTTAAAGCTTCGCTTTTGTTAAAAATAAGTTTTTAAAATTTCTGTATGTTATTAGAAAGAAAAAAAATACGAATGTATTTTATTAAAATACTTACCTTTTTTATTCTTAAATATAATTAAATATATTTTTTCAAATTTTTAAAACGTTCGATCGGCTTCCTTATAATTTTTCTAACTGAATATTGATTATCTTAGTATATACTTACCGTTAAATATCAAAGTGTGTAAACTTAGTCATATACAAGATAAAAAGAAAATATTTAAGAAGTTTTCTGTGCAATGAACAGTATTGTAACTGCATTTATATATTTTGTAACGATACTGTGCGTCTTTATTTATAATTATTTATAATTTTCCAATGTATATATACGCAACAAACGTTGTAACATCAATATATATAGTTTTATATTCATTCAGCGATTTATATTTAATTAACATTGTTTCTATATTAAAATTTGTTCAAAATTTTTAATTTTTTTTAACAAAATGAATATATAACATTGTACAAAAAATTCTCCTAAAAGAGTTACAATTTGAATATTGCAGTTATGATACTTTTCATTGCTTCCATTTGTTTAAATTGATTTTTATCTATATCGGAAAAAAATCACTCTCGCGTAAATTATATATATTTTAATATTTTAGCATTTAAAAAAATAGATATATAATATGAGACGGAGGCAATGAAAGATTTCTCAACTGTGCAGAAAACTGATTCACATTTCGTCATTGCGAAAACAGCGATTTTCTATTTGCAAACCGGATCTGAGTCTACCTCGTGTACATAATGAATGTATATATGTAATAAACATGGACTGATAATTGATTAATAAAATACACGTGCAAAAGATACAAAATGAAATATAAAAAAATTTTATTTGAACCATATAGGCGAGTTTTAGCTTAATCGAGTCTTTTCCTTAATCACAATTATAAAATTTTGTCATCGTATAAATCGAATGACGAGTAGTTCTCTAAATTCGATATCTTGACATTATATTATGAACTTAAAAGTAATAATTAATTAATTTTCTGTGTAAATAATTTTAAGTTAGAGCATAATTCCGGAAAAAACAATTTAAAATGAAATCGATCGAAACAGTAAGATTATAAATATACGCTCTTTTGAGTTTGGAAAAAAAATGTATGTATACACTCAAATTTTTCGGCGCAGAACCAATTGCAAGCTATGATTTGAAAATTTTAACGTTATATTTGTGCAACAGTGCCAAATATCATGATGAGAAGTAAAAAAAGAAACAGAAAATTGCGAAGAAAGAAAAAATGTGCATTATCTTGAAGACTTCTGAGTTTAAATTTCTTGTAAAATTAAAATTCAAATAATAAATTATTAGATGAACAGAATTTAAGAGTCAATACTTCGATACTTCTACAATAATTATACGTTTTAATTAAAAATACAATAATTATATATTTTAATTAAAAATACAATAATTATATATTTTAATTAAAAATATTTTTTTTCAATAGGATAAGAAAAAGAAATTGCATTTTTTGTTCAGGAAATATTTGAAGAATGCATATGTAATTATGACTTATGAGTGCTTAACTCATTCGTTCATGACTAGATCATCATGCTGGTACTCCAACATAAAAGCGTATTAAATCTATCACTTTGTTGTCCAGTTAATAAAAAATATTCTATGATGCTCTCTTCGATCAAAAATATTTTTAAATAATTCGGATATATTTTAAGATAATAATTATTAGCAAGCAATTTTTCACATTATGCAAGGATGGTTAAAATAAAATTCGAATATATTTTAAAACAATTATTAGCAAACAATCTCTCACTATGAAGGAAAAGAGTAGCAATATAAATTAGTAATAAGAAAATGAATGATTCTGCATTGTAGCATTTTAGTTTCATTTACTCATATAATTTTTCAACTTATAATAAGATTCTACACAATTATGCACGAAAGAACGAGACTGCACTTAGTCCAGTGTGCAATGCACATTTTCTTTTTCTTTCACGAATAAAAGATATTCACTCTGAAATACTTCGCATTTCTTTCGGAAGTTTCAAGATAATTACCTTTTATTATATTTATATATATATATATATACTTCGACTCGCTATATTATATATTTACAGATTCTTCACATTGTAAAAAATATATAACGCATTTCGTACTCAATATATCAGATATATATATGTATATATACGCAGGTAATAGTACTGAAAGGCCGATATACACATATCTAAATCGTGGTGTTTTTCTTTTTTTTCTCTTTTCACCAATTATTAATTAATATGTGCGTGACCCGATTGCATGACAAATGCACATGTGTCTGCAGCTACATGTGAATTACAGTGTATATGTCTTTGCATATTGCATCTTTCTCTTTCGATCTTTTTCTTCGACTGTAAGAAGATAATAACTGATTCCGATCATAAATAAAGTGAACAATTAAGAAAAGAAAAACAATTCTGGTCCTTAGATGTATGATATGCTGGCCGACTCCAGGTATGGCGCAATCCTTTTTCTTTTTTCCTTTGACGCTTCTCCGCCGGATAGCTCCCCAAATAAAAACGATTCTGTTATTCAGAATTCATGTCGTAGATCATTCATTGCGGCAACGGTTTTCAGACTGCCGCCTTAAAAAAATAGCGCGCGCAATCTCGCAAATCTCGTGAATTGGACGCGCGAGAGGCACGCGGCATGGCCTCTCTTCATATAAATATATAAATAGATTTTTCAAGTATATCAAATACTTGGTGAGCTATCTAGGCAGACGACGGCCTTGTGATCCGTACTTCATACCATATGTGTATGTATGTATGTATGTATACATGTTTCGTATGTATAAAACAGGGCGAAAAACGCAAGGAAGTGTACAAGTCAGGCGACGACGATCAAAACGCTTTATAAAGAGGCCTTCCGATCGAAGCAGAGTGAAGACTTCGATTATTGTTATCCGATATACAAAAGGTGCGATGTTACGACTACGGGATCACAGCGAGACTAAGAATTTTCCATGTTATTGTGACAAAATAGCGGCTTCGTGAAACCATTCCGCCTGTTCTTATCCTTCATTTCTTCATGCGCGAACTACGAGATAACTCACGACCGCGATTTCCGGCGCCTCAGCAAATTCTTTTTTCTTTGTTTTTTTTCTTTTCTAATATTAAGGCCCGGAATAAAACTACAGAGAGCACCATTCAAAAAAAGTATACCGAAAGGGTCTTTGCGTTATTCAACGCAACATTAAACGCTCGTTCGAAGTATATGAACAATTATCTCTTTCCGATACCTAAAAACGATCTAACTATCAATCGTAGAAATACTGTACATCAGTTCATTCTCATCTTTTTTTTATTCTTTTTTTTTAACTCTTAATTCTCGCAATTTTCTCCAAAAGTTGGAAAATAGTATCGCGTATACTATTCAGACAATACAATTTGCGTTAAAATTCATAATGCCGCGTTTACAAATTAGAATTGGGAGGGCTATACAAAATTACAAATACATCTTTGTCAGAAGCGAAATATCCTTCAGTAAAATCAGTAGAAAGATATTAATGTCAAACGATCTTCGTCAAGTTTTACTTTTGCATTTAACCCTCGGATGTGCTTTCTAAATAATTCTTTCGAAAGCTTAAAAGGACTCAAAGTTCAATTAAATATAATTTGAATTCTTCTAAAAATTAAATCTAGAAGATAGAAAAGATTCGATCTCAGAAAATATCATGAAAAAGTAAAAATAATTGCTCCAATAATGCATCCAAGAGTTAAATGGCAATACATTGAACAATATATGTAAATGTCGTTACGATGTGTTCGTCGAGAAGCGGTGTTTATCTGACAATACAATTTTAATTAAATGAGAAAAATTACACGTTATCTGCCAGTTATTCATAAAATTAATCGAGCATTTAAAAAAAATTTTGTCAAATCTTTTATTATGATAAGAACAAAACGAAAAAGAAATTTATACGTTTTTGAAATTTATATGTTTTCAGAAATGTGCAAGTAATACATCTATCGAAATTGCAATACATAAAAAATGGAAATAAAAATGAATGAATATCTAAAGAAATAATTTACAGAGCATAATTATATCTAATTATACAACGAGAAATGATTGTGAAATAATTTAAAAAATAAATGCTATAATCTCATCTATAGAATTTCTTCATATTGCAAATTCAATAAAGTTAATACAGTAATTGCACGTTTCTAAAATAAGTGTGTAATTATTTTCGAAATTTTTAAATTAATCAATCTTATGAAGAATGCAGTTTTAAACGATTCTTGGATTTCTTCTCTTCGAAAGCAATGCCAACAACGAAAAGTATTGTAATTGTATTTTAGAATATTCACAATTATTTTCTTTTGTGAAATATTATGAGGAATTCTTAGAGAAGTTTTATTCGGATTCTGTGATTTTTCACGAGGCCTTAAGGATAAAAAAAAAATTTTTTTGAAAAGAAGTCACAGTCTTACTATTACGATACTTTTCACATTGGTGTAGTCATTATGAGTGAATAAAAGCACGTACATGATTTTTGCAATTGAAGGGATCAATGCGAAAAACCGCACCTTCCGGAGATTTCTAATTCTACTATTGTGCTCTGTCATTGGTGTATAAGATCATTCGTTAAAAGAAACCATCATCAATCCCATAGTGATCGAATGTGCAGTCTTGCGGCCTATTGTAGTACAAATTTTTTTTTACCGTATAAAGCTTACAAATTACGAGTTTAGATTGACATTATTACATTAACTATCTCTTTACGAAACGTTTTTCTTAATATTTTCCCGTCATCGTATTTACATAATATCATCTGCAATGTTACATTTCAATAAACTAGAGGCAAGTCTTTAACTCTGGCCTTTAGTTATTAATTTTGTAATCATCACGATATATTAATTTGCTCACTTCTGCACATATGAGTTTGCAAATACGGTATTGCGTATCAAACATCTTGAAACAGACATAAAAGCAAAACAAAAGTAAAGTATTAGTACTTGCTACGCAATGGATCACAAGAAATCTCACAACAGCTGGATTATCCGTTAACCACTGAGGTGTCGCGTACAAAACTTCATTTTCAGTGCCTTTCCTTTATACACAGTAAAATAGTTCAATGTTAGGACTGTACAACCGACATACAGGATTTTGATCATTTGAAATACTTTGAAATATTTTGAAATATTTCAGAACCAAATCATTTGATACAAAGAAACAATATCATTAAAATGATCCTCAAATTGAATAATTTGTTTCTGAAACATTTTTCTATGTGTATCCTTAATAATGAAGACATTTCAAATTATTAAAGGTGAAACACCCTGTGTATAAATGTCACTAACAACGTCTCGTACAAAAATGTTTAGACAATAGGTATCTCGCTAATCAGCCTCCTTAGCTTAAATTAACACAGAACAATTGCACAGAGAAGAGTACTCTCAAAACCAAACCACTTTCATCGAATCAGATGGATTTGATTACATAGCCTTCGCACGACTGCATACAAATTATGCATTATAGGATTAAGCCTCACTCAAACATTTAGTTTGGCTCGTTATCGCTGAAACTATCACTATGCTAGAACGACCATCACAGTGACTCCTTCAAAGTGCGAATAATCTTTCTTTTTTTTTCTGCGCAGCACCTAAATCTCCATTTATGGACGAGAACGCGAACCTACATGCGACAGTTCTGTCTGAAGTTGAGCAGAAAGCCGATATCGAGTTTGGTTTTACGATTTTCGACACCTTCTCCTTTCTCGCGAGCGGAGTATTGGTCCTTTTGCCGAGGAAAAGCTACTTT